CAGCGTACGGTGCTCTCAGCTAAAACACTGGCAAAGTGAAAATACGTTTGTCCACTGATCGACAACAAGGCTGCAAGACCAAAAGTGACTGCTGTTCAGAATGGGAATTTCCACAGAGTGCAAGGAAGAATTTTTTTTCATCTAAAATCAATGTTCGACATGCTTACAGCGCGAAAATGTATCACTTTGTTGTTATCATAATATACAGTTTCCTGAGAATCTCTGTTAGTCAATGATCGTGTTCACTGAAATGTGTGAGTGACAGCATCAGAGTTTCTTAAAATATGACATTCAACAGTTTTGCCCGAGGTAGCGTTTCAACGAGTATTTTCGCAATGGAAACATGTATGAGCAAGAGAATATTCTCACCCTGCGATAGAGATAATCAAAGTGAGACGGCCTCAGATTTGTGAGATATGCCACTCAACTATGTAAATTTCAAGTGAATTTTTGTGCGCAGTCTTTAGAACGAGTCTTTTCAATTTTTGATCATTTTAGCGCTACCGGCTGCCAAGGACACCATATGCAAATGATGGTAGTGGATATCGAGAGTCATTACACCAAATTTGAGCTTGTTACGAATAGGAACACAGAAATGGCAGCTGAATATGTTAGCTCTGTTAGTCTTGGCCGTGCTCAAGTCTGTGGAGCGCCCGCTAAAGTCGAATTTTCTATCTCTGGACGTACTAGCTCTTCATGGATCGATAACGTTACCATCTCCTGGACGATCTCCACTATCTTGAGTGATCTTGAGACGAGGAACAAAATTTATGGTGAAACAGGTGCTGACGTGGGCGCTTTCAGGTAGCACCGTGCTAAAGAGGTTGAGCTGACATTTCAACAGTATTTTCCCGGTGGTAGTCAATCCACGAGTAATAATCCGCTGCCAGATGCGGACATAGACATTGGTGTTATTAAATAATAGGTTTGAGTGCTGATGACGTAGATCCATCTGGACCAAACTTGTGCTGTCATGAGGTGATGCCAAACCCATTATTTAGATATAAAAATCTTGCCAATGCCTAGGACTCCCCTGAAGACGCAGGCAACATTGAACATATACTAGTTCGTCCGTGAAGTCTGTAAGAAGTCATTTCGCCGTCCTCTGGGTCACCCTTTTGCCTAGTAGTATTCATACATCCACACTTTTTGTCCCCGAAATCTCATTGACTTGCTCGCCATTTTTGGCTCTACGTATACGTCTGTATCTGTCTGCCTCTTCGTCTCTCAGGCTCTCGGTGTGTGCCTATTTGTCTCTATATGTCCGTGTTTCTGCCTGCTTATTTGAATCTCTTTATGTCTTTCTCCCTGTCTGTATGCCTGTCTGTCTCCCTTTCCCCTTCTCCCTCTCTGTCTTTTTATCTACCTCTGTTTCATTAAATCTCTCTGTTTAAAGTCCCTTTATCTTTTCTCTTTTTGCTTTAAGAGTCTCCATAAGGATAGGTCTGTTTAAAGGAGTTTCCATTTAATACGAATAAATGGCCGGTCAAACGCATTAATCATGGCAAGTAGCGTTGATTTGGTAATGCGAAATAAGCATTGTTGCATGAGGCA